TTGGGTTTAGGAACCTACTGGTCTCTAATCCCATTGGATAGGTCGATGAATACGGCCACTGAGTGCACAAACGAACATGCAAGGCGGGCAACCCATGCAAAGTTTTATCAATGTTCTTGAATTTTCTTACAAAGAGACTAAATCTTGAAATGGTTATAGCATGCTGTTAAATAACAGATAGTTTCACAAACTAAACTCACACTGATCTCTCAATTTTTGCGAAAACCTTACCCTTCTTCTTCCAAAGCAATCCCATCAAGACCCTGACAAACAAAATGTCACTTTCGTAATCGGAAGATGGACGTTGCATTAGCAATCACATAAATCAGCACCAAAAACATTTCTCCGTGACGTTGACTTTGCATCGAAAGACTAGTAACCTGACGCCAATTGAAAATTTAATTATAATCAATACATCCCATTCCTTCTCTCCCCCCGCGCGTTGAGAAAAATTTGATCAACAGGATTGAACATTGAGATAATGACGCATAATGGGAAATAAAAAACTGCCTCTTCAAAAAGAATCGCAAGGAAGTGACCAAGAAGTCAGAAAGTCAAGATAATATCTTTCGTTCAAACCGTATCGTTCTCTATTACAGTTGTTACGGACACGAGGAACATGTCCAGCTTTTATCAATCTCTTTTGAACGATCTGCTCTTTATCAAGAAAAAGTCCGATGTGAAGCCATCAAGATGCTAATACAACGCAAAGCTGCCCGCTATATAGCCGAAAGCAGAGAAGAAAGGACAAGAACCAACTACGAGAAAATTCAACAAAAGATCGAGCTTCAGAAATTTCGATGGAATTTTTTGTGTTTCATGCGCGTAGTTTGCTTTGATCAGTCGCGCGCATACTGTAAATACTAGCTGCTAGATGAGAAAGCAAGAGAATTTATAATGTTCAAGAACGTTTCATCAAACACCAAGAGAGTGTTAGGGTTGCATGAATGATCTGGTCTATCTATCCAAGCAATACCTGGCTGCTCCACTCCCACAAGGAAGTGGCAAACAAAGAAACCACACAAACCTTTCCAAACATCTCCAAACTTTGTAGTGCCGTATCACCACGATATTGATGTAAGTAGTCGACAAAGCTTTTGAGCAACAACATTGTAAAAATAAACAACAACATACAGCATTTTGTGCAAATCTTTTGTTCTTCTACGTGGAACATAAAAAATAACGGTCTGGAATTGCATCAAACTGGTATGTCTGCCACTGAATACCTCGAAGTCGGGTTAATCTGAGGTCCGCCCAAAGATACTGAGTCGAAAGTACCGCTGGTGACCACCAGGAATGAACCGACTCGCAACGAACACATGATGACTGTAGTCTGACTAAAATTCAAGACCACCGCCAGGCTCAAAAAGTAACTATCGAATTCAGCGCTGAGCATCCAACAAGCAAAAAGGATCTGTAAAATCTTTATCGACGGAAAAAGAATTCATGAAATCTTTATCGGCGTCGAACATTGAACGAACCAGCTCAATATGATCATCAC